CGAAAGCTTTACACAGAAATCTATCAGTTTTTTTTCATATCTGAATGGTCCGAGGTATCCTCTACAAAACTAGATCTAAGTGGCATCTCGAAAATCTATGGTTGAGAGCTACTCAAAGTTATGTCAGGATACCAAGATGTACTCTATTTTATCTGTTCAGTACTATGCAGTCCAACAGAAGCTTTAAAAGTCAGCGGAAATATGCAGGTTTTTGAAACGGCTTTCTAAAAACCTTCCGAAGTACAAGAATGTTTTTTACTATTCTCAAAGAAAAAATCATTTGGAGCAGGTGAAATAGAATACATCTTGATATTCTGACCATAACTTGGAGTGATCTTGGCTGAATTATCAATTTTTGAACTTTACTCAAGAATAAGGAGAAATGGGATATTTCACCTAATGTACGTTTTCACTAGGAAACTGTTTTGAAAAACAGTTGTTGCCACGAGGTTCAGCATAGTCTGTAACCTATGTTTTCATTCATTTTTGACAGTCCCAAACGACAGAGGAGTCCTAAGGCTTCCAGAAAAACTCCCGTAGCTCCCGAACCGTAGATTTCGAGATGCCACTTAGATCTAGTTTTGTAGAGGATACCTCGGACCATTTAGATATGAAAAAAAACTGATAGATTTCTGTGTAAAGCTTTCGAGCTATAAGCTGGCTTTCCAGAGATCCACTGAAAAACCGGATCCTGATATTTTTTCGAAAGGCACTTTTGCTTATGAAATATGAAGTCAGCTGTCCTCTTTCGTTTGCTGGAAACTGCAAGTCTCTAACTTTTCTCATTATTGAGTTATTGGAAAAACAACGACCTGCCTTATATTTTGGATGGATAGTAGAGCTCGACGAACTGATGAATATCTAGATTTTAGGTTAAAAAGATTGGTTTTTGAAGGACAAATGTTCAAAATACTGAAAGGATCTAGAATTCGATAAAACCGTTAAGTTGTGAAAAATACTGAATATTATTTTCCTGTTCCATTTTCAAAATCCCCAATTTTTTTCGAAGGTCAGCATGAAAAACTGGGTATAGACATGTTATCTGGAGCCTGATCACATATAACGTATCCAAAATGGAATCTCATGTTCAGAGAGAATTTAAAGCAAGCGCGAACAAATTTTGGAAATCTATCTAGTTTTTTCTGTTGAGAAATATAAGTTTGATTTATATCACGTTCGATTTGTCTCCACATAGGCAAAAAAAGCCCGTTCTGCTTTCTCCGAAAATTTTGGCAAGCACCTAGAATAAAATATGTTGTCTGCAGTAATACTATGACACATCGGGGAAGAAAAGACATGCTCATACGTTATCAGTGCACAGAGTACGATGTTAGCTTATGCCTTGCTGATTGTTTCAAACATTTTCATATTCTACAAAATTTTTGAGAATAAATAAATGTGTTTTAACACCTGAAGTATTTCTGGTGAAATTGTATCTGGAAAATTAAATCCGTAGGCAAAGGGTTAAAAGCTGGAATGCTACTTTAATAGTAACGTCTAACTAGACTTCTTATGCTTAACTGTTAACAACTTTATTTTTCTTCTACAAAAAATATATACATGAGAAAGAGAAGTTTGATACCAGAACGGTGTACATTAAGGTTTGTTTATAGTGATCGTGTTTTTATGATTTATATTTTGTTAATCTTTCAGCTGGATGATTGTAGATGAACTCAGATGATGTGGTGGTTGATTGAACTTGAGCATAATATAAATTTTTTGCGTCTTCTGATAATTTTTGAACGCCTTCTGAACCATTTACATCCACTGCATAATGGGTGGCGCGTTTAGAACGTCTATACGCCAATTTATTTTAAACAGAAATATATAGCGACCAATGTTTTTAGCGATTAGTATCATATAACAGACAATTACAAATAAAAATGTGATATCATATGAATAACATTACCTTTACCGCAGTCGAATGTAATCAACACAGCGTCCGATTTATATTTTCTTCTAATTCTTTCGATCGAATCAACACTCGAACATTTTGCTTATCAACAATTTCAGTTGGATTACTCAGTGATTCTTACCACCATAGAGGCTCGGCTAATTTCGCTGCTGGCAAAACTCCTTTGACTAGATGATGATTCGGATCCACCACTTGCACGTACTTTTTCAGGAAATGCAATTTGTAAAACATTGACCAAAGCCCAATCAATTGTGATTAATTGCCCACCATTTTCAACAAATTTTCTTAAGTAATGACCAACATCTGGCAGAAATGAATTTGGACAATTTATATATACCGCTTGTTCTTTACGTAATGGATATAGATCTTCTTGCGTAACGGTTATAAATTTAATATTAATATTTTCTAATACTTGATGAATATGATCGTACATTCCTGATACTACTACAGGGTATATCATAATTATAGACCCCCATAACATGTACATAGAAAAATGTTTATTTTATTACAATAAGGAATAATATTGATCTGCTAGTGGCACAGCTATGTAAGACTAATTACGTACTATCTGATGCCCTAGCATCTCTCTTTTATCTTTTATTCTTTGAAGAGAAAACTGGAAAATGCCTGTAACATAATTATAGACCTCCTAACGAAAAATCATATTTTCTCATCATTTAAAGCGTGCAAAACCTCCAGTTTTTATATTTTATTCTAATATTAACTATTGTCTACC